GGTTTTGCGGCCGTTACAAAAATGGTAAGCGGAACATTTCTATGTTATTTACACAATTCTATGTTATTTATTATAAGCAAATATACGAAGACAGCGCTGCAACCATCTTATGTTTATTTGTAACATTAAATAAATATCATTGTCTTATACAATAATGTGTAGACCTGTGCCCAGAAGTGGAACGTATAAGCATCGTTGTCATCATCACTAAAGCCCTTCAGAAGCCTCTCCTCCTCCTCCATCATATACATTAATTACTAAATAGTCTAAAATTAAGAAAGGGAACAAAATTTAAAAAATGTATATCATTTAATTTATTAAATAATGTTAAGCTTAAAACTTTGTCACCATTCCAACGATTAAGTAATTAGTGTATTTTAAATTTAAACTTTTAAAAAAGTATGATAAACTTTTTATTGAAAGTTGTATTATTATACCTTTTGAGTTGCTTAAAGAATATTCTCAGTTTAAAATAACAACTAGAATGTCGTTTAAATAATTACTTTGAAATCTTAATACCCTATTTTTACCATAAGGATTAAGTTTTCTTTCAAATTTATATATGTATACGTATACGTGGTAGAGCCAAGCTGCAGTTATATTATGGTTGTAGCACCAAAGTGTCGACTCGACTGGGGAAGGACCACGCTCTCCCAAAATACCAGCGTAAAATACCAGCTTGATACTGCTGTGTTTGATGAGTGTAGAGAACCGGAGACCCGTTTTAGTGGAATCGAGTCATTCCATCTTATTCCTCAGGGATGACAACGCATCTGCATTTTAATTCTTAATCGAGGTCAAATGTAGATGTCTATGGGCCACAGCATCCACTCATCATCAGGTGGACTGTGTGCTCGTTCATCACGTTAATTCTATTAAAAAAATGAACTATACTCCTGAAGAATACCCTATTTAATAAGTAAATAATTATTTAAATCGGTTCAGCCATTTCCAAGAAATCGGTCGGTACAGTCCATAAAAGTTTTAATTGCATTTTATTGCTTGAACCAAATTAAATGTATATAACGTTTATAGTAGCACCAGTTTTCTTTAACCATTAAATGCATGATTTTTAATCTAATAAAAATAATAATATATTAAAAAGTAATAATAACCAACGGTCGTACAGGTGGTAGGTACTAAGGCGAAAACCGATTTTATTATTTATATATATTTATATATACATATATATATATATATGTATCTTCATACATATAAATTACGTGTCACGTTGTTTGTCCGCGATGGACTCCTAAACTATTTCACCGATTTTAATCAAATTTGCACACCGTGTGTAGTTTGGTCCAACTTGAGAGATAGGATAGTTTTATTGCCCATTATTGAGCCCCTTGAATTTAGAGATTTTTAATAGGACATGACAAAAAGTCCTCGAAAATGGCAGAACAACGTCTGCCTGGCAAGCTAGTAATATATATAAATTACGTGTCACGTTGTTTGTCCGCGATGGACTCCTAAACTACTTAACCGATTTTAATCAAATTTGCACACCGTGTGCAGTTTGGTCCAACTTGAAAGATAGGAGTTTTTTTGCCCGTGAGTGTACCCACAATTTTTTTTTTGCGAATTAGAAGGGGCAGAACAACCTCTATATATATATTCAAGACAAAATGTAGATTTATGAAAAAATAGTAAAAAAAATCAAACTGCATATTATTATATTTTTATTAAAAAATTCTGTGCAAATATGAAACACTAAGTTAAGAACTTAAATTAAGTATTTTCTTGATACATCGTTATATTTTGCATGCATTCAATACCGGGTTGACAGAAGTCAGATTCTCGGGAGCCGGTTGCCCGAGCCGTTGAATGTTTATAGTCAATACAAACCAATATTGACATTCTCTTTGTCTACTAAACTGACGGCTAATCTCTTTGTGCTGAACACTCTTTTGTGTTTTGTTACATTGCCATTTACTGCTTTCTGTTTTTTCTTTAGCTCTTGCACAATCAACATTCAAGCTATGTAAAATGTTATTAGGTCTTTACCCTATGAAATCGCCATTTTGTAGAAATGGCCACTTTTAATTGTAATAGCTATTATATAACTATTATATAACTTGGAACTCTAATTTCAAATAAATTTTATATTCAAGACATGTTATTCATATTTCAAAATCATCAAATTATTTATTTGGAATATGTTTTTTGCAATGTGTGCAAATGTTCAATAAAAATACAAAGTTCATAGAATAGGGTGATAAACGAGCACACAGTCCACCTGATGGTAAGTAGTTGCTGCGGCCTATAGACATCTACATCCATCCTCCATTAAAAATCAAAATGCAGATGCGTTGTCACCCGTGAGGACTGAGATGGAATGCCTCGTTTCCAGTAAAAAGGGTCTCCGGTTCTCTACACTCACCATACGAAATACAGCAGCATTAAGCTACTATTTCACGCTGGTATTCTGTGAGAGCGTGGTCCTTCCCCGGTCGAGCCGACCCATTCGTGCTACAATTATACTACTAATACAACTGCAGCATGGCTCTACCACGTAAAAAATTACGTATTATTGAATATGAGTACCGTAAACAATGAGTCTTAAAAACAGCACGCAATATCTTGAGTCTTGACTCTTGAACAAAACCTAAATTTTGTGAAAAGAGGTCACCCCTTTTCACATAATTTAGGTGTTTGATAGAATGTGATTAGTTTTTGCAAATTTGTTTTTCTTTTCCGAGTTTAAGGTTTTTTTTCTTTTTATAGAATAAGGGTAACAAACGAGCACACAGTCCACCTGATGATAAGTAGATGCTGTGGCCCATAGACATCTACATTTATCCTCGGTTAAGAATCAAAACGCAGGTGCGTTGTTACCCCTGAGGACTAAGATGGAATATCTAGTTTCAAGTAAAAAAGGGTCTCCGGATCTCTACACTCACAATACGAAACACAACAATATCAAGCTGCTATTTTACGCTGGTATTCTGTGAGAGCGTGTACCTTCCCCGGTCGAGCCGAACTATTCGTGCTACAACCATAATATAGCTGCAGCGTGGCTCTACCACGCATACGTATTTCAGGTATTGAAGGGGTCCTATTAGACATGTAATATTGCAAGTGCTTTTGAATTTTGAAGCTTTTGAATTATGGGGAGTCTAAAATAGCCCGAAATGTAACTTAGTTCGTGTAATATTATGTTGAGATCAAAAATAATAATAAAAATTATCTTAGCCAACTTTGACGTTAACGACTGAGTCAATGTGTGTAGAAGAAATTCGCAGTAAATGTACGACCACATTTTAAATATAAAAAAAAACTTAATTAATATAATGGAAATACATTATTTCATTTTCAAATTACTGTATCCCATATGATGTAACATGTGGTAGAAAGATATCTAATTATCCACACCAATCAATAGGAATTTCTTTTTATCACTAACGTGCTCGTTAGTTTCGGCCTCTACGCGTGGGCTTGGCTGACTGGTCCACTTTCGTAAAGTTCGTATGCGATCGCAGACGCAGCGACAATGTTGCACCACAACATTCTGCACATCACAGATATTACTAGAAAGCGATCAAGACGAACCATGTCTGTGGGACACGAGACAGGAACTATAAGTGGAGGACAAATCTGGCTTAAATTTAATTAGAAAGTGACGCAATGACCTAAAGTTTAACGCTAAATGAGTCACGTGAGGTATTTAATATACTGACTGGAGAATAAATACATTTCACTTTTAATACGCAGAGTGAGGGGGAGCACTAATAGTATCTTGAGGGTCTTTGCGGAGAGGCTCGATGACCCGACACTAGGTAGGTTTTTCAAGCTACATGTACTAAATTGAGCTTGAAAAATCTATCAATTTGTATGCATGTTGTGAATTTTTTATTTTGTTTTTTTTTTCTATTGTGTTTTATTTAATTGTTTCGTGCACTAACATTAGTTCTTAAGTTTTATTTGTATTACTAACATGCTATGAGCCTACGATGCCTGAAAAATAAAACATTTTTATTTTATTACTACGTTATACAATATTATACACATCTTTTACCAAAATTACGTTTGAATTTATACAGACAGGAAGCGATAGAGAAAACACAATTGCTTAAAAATTTCTACTATTTTTATTAGGTAGTTCGTGTGTGTTATTATGTAAAAAACGATGTTATGACACTGACACGTTTCTATCAAATCTGCGTCCAAAAGTTTCGTAATTTTCTGGGAAGACTTTGCAAAGACTTAGTTTTAATTAAATTATTTGAAACTAAAATATAAATAAAATTTTATTGCCGTGTATTATTTAAATTTTTGCGTGGTGATTGTGATTCAAAATTAACTTAAATATTTATGCTATAAGTTCCTTTATTATTTAAAAGAAATACTTTTAAGATCTGTAAGAGTGTACTCTTACAGATCTTAAAAGATCTTCTATAAGGATATATATACGAGAAAACTACACATTGATAGCAACCAGTTTTTTTTTTCAAGAATTTTCCCACGAGGAACGTTGTACTCGACTATAAAAATAAGATAATTAAACCCAATAAAACCTAGTTTCAACTTCTCTAAGGTAAATGTCAGTGTATTTTATGTCAGTGTATTTGTAGTGGATTGAATGAATAAAAGGATGAAATGGAGCATCGCTTATTGCAAAGTAATGTACTATAATTAGCAGCGCGCATGCCAAGCTTGCCAACTAACAAAGCAATCTAACGACAGGTCTTTAATGCACCAGTAAACTACATATGGAGGCAATAAGGATCACTAATTACTTGTAACTAATGTCTACGTTTATAAATTATGCAATTTCTTTAAGTATAACAGCGTATAGTTTGTACTGATATAGCAACATGTCAATCAATATTCATTACATTGGAGACAATAAAGCAAGATATGATGTATTTATAAAAGAGACTATTAAGCAAGTATTTGATCGTATTATACAGCGAGTGAACTCAATAAAAACAATATAGCGTTCTCATTCATCAGACTGTTTCATTTCAATAATTAAAATGCTCGTTTCCTGGTTGCAGGGCTGCGCCGGGCGAGTGCCGACGCCCGTTATAATGTGACCGGCGCACGACAACGCGCGTCTCCCCCCAAGGTAAGCTGGCCTATCTCTTAATAAATGACAATATATGTACTTATACTCATATAACATACATGTGTTATCGGCAACTTGTACAATCTCTCAACATCTTTACAATACGGCACACAGAGCTGGCGATTCGTTTCATTGATTATTATTATAAATCATCATAGAATACTATAATACGTACATAATAAAACGGGGGAGTGGGCGGAGCCCGAATAGCCACAAAAATGTCACTAACACGTTAATTCACACGTATAAATGTCAACACGAGATGTGTTTTGACGTTACAATCGCTTCCGAATTGCGCGTGCAAATCATTTAGAAAATGCCAAATTGCACCCTATTTACAAATAAATATGTATTAAAATTTAATGATGATCTTGAACATTAATCAAAATTCTAAAATTTGTAAATTTACTCAGTCTGTCAACACAGCGAATCGGGTTTGGCGACGGCAATCCTCTTCTAAAATAAAGTTGACAGCCATTCTATTGTGTATTATAGTATTCTATGATATTAATCGTTACCCTTGTTAGTATACAAATGTATGTTCAAATGTAATTAATAATTTTCACAGATTTTTTTTTATTATTTGATATTTTCAAATTATAATAAATCTATGCCTACACATCCAATTTCTGATGGTAGTTACAGTAAATTGAGGCTGAAGAAGCATGAGAATAAAATTAATGCTATAAAAAAAATAAAAATCATTAAAAAGTATAATATGTTAAGTTAGTAGTAGGTAGGTATAGTAAGTAGGGTAGTATCTAAATGATATTTTGGGAAATTGAGTAATAACAGAAAAGTGTGCAAGATGTTACGACCAAGATTAAGAAAGGAATGCTTCGATAGTTTGGGACATGTTTGTAGAATGATTGAAGGAAGATTTACAAAACATTTATGCGACAGCTTGCTGCAGGAGCCGTGGTAGCTCAGATGGTTAGCGCTCGCTGTAAATTTCACAGCACGCGAGTAAACCGGTGTTCTATCCACGCCGGCACCAATGAAATTGTTAATTGAAATTTTAAGTGATGATTTACCACGTGCTCAGCGGTGAAGAAAAACATCGTGAGGAAACCTGCATGCCTGAGAAATATGAAAAAAAAATATTTCGAAGCCATGTGAAGTTGGCCAACAATTGGGGCAGCGCGGCGGACAATTCCTTGCCCTAAAACCCTCTCTGAAATGAGCGTGGGAGGTCTGTGCCCTGGAGTGGGACGTATATAGGCTGTAACTTTAAGCTGCTGTAGTGAGTGAAAGGGACGCCCTAAGTTGAAATTTATCGACTAAATGGACAATATATTGAAGATAGGCTAAATTAAGATTACCCTTTCCTGACGAGCGTGTATGCGTGTGTGAACGAAGCGAAAGAGATTTATCAGAACCGCTCCAAATGGAAGCTTACAGTCTCTAGTCCCTTTGGGTGACCAGTATATAATAATGTCCTCCAGACCGAATTTCGGTCACAGTGACCAGTCTGACCAGAGACTAGCCATCTGCGCAGGGCATAATTATAAACCCGAGTGCATGTGCAAGCACTTGTGCACTCTCTTTACCCTTACTCTCATAGCCCGATGGAACGGAAATCCGACACGACCGGAGAGAGATCAGGCGCAGGAACAACGGCTTTACGTGCTTATTATCAGTATACCACTTTGTATTTTTGTCTCTGTCATCCTCCTAGTTTTGGTTTATAGGGCGGCAAAGCTTATGGTGACTACATTACTCTCACGTACCGTATATTGTTTTATTTATTTTTATGATACTAACGAAAATGAGCGATTGCATTTTTGGCTCTGGATGGCTCGGGCGGCAGCCGGCAGTAACTCATGCGACGCCACTGCACAAGCTAATGAGAACACTGTTCCCCGCGTCACGCACAACGCTTACACCTTTGGTCTTTGGTGTACCTAATTCGGTCATAAATCCTTTCACCTAATCTCTCACTTACACTAACAAGTCTTGTAGAATTGAAATACGGTACACATAACACTTCTATGTGGCTTTTTTAATATATTACATAACATGGAAGTATATAATAATAATTATCATATCCAAAAGAAGACTAAAAACTTAATTTATCGTATAAATAGAAATACAAAGTTGAGATATGTGTAACGATGATAGATACGTCTCTATCTACGGATCTGAGACTATATTTTGGAAAAATTTGAAGGTTTTTTTTTTTAGAAAAATATGTAAACATTGATAATATAAATGGTTTTTGAATATCTAAAATCTAAATAACGCCACATTATTTTTTTTTAAATTAAACAGGCGAAGTCGGGTCGGGGCGGATCGTTAATTATTAATAATACGTGTGTTCCATAACTCCAAATCAAATTTAAATCAAAACGCGAGCATTTCGTTCGAAAACATATTATACATTTCATACGTAGTAGAGCCACGCTGTAGCTATACTCGTATTATGGTTGTATCACGAGTGAGTCGGCTCAACCAAGGTAAGAGACCACGCTCTCACATAATACCTGCCTGCTGTGTTGCCTGTGGTGAGTGTAGAGGACCGGAGACACTTTTAACTGGATATGACTCATTTCATCTTAGTCTTCGGGGGTGACAACGGATCTGCATTTTGATTTTTAATCGAGGATAAATGTAGATGTCTATGGGCCACAGCATCCACTTACCATCAGATGGACTGTATGCTCTTTTATCACTCATATTTTATAGAAAAAGAAAGGTAGAATTGTAGCGGCGCTGTCGTTGCGCCACCAACACACCGAAACACACCGAAACCTAAATCGCGCTATTAACATTCCGAATCATAGACAGTATATATAGAACTTCTCCGAAACTCGGAGTGTTGGCCGCTCCCCGGGCAGAACACCTTGCCCGGCGGGAGATCTCCCCTTTTCCTACCACGGCCACAGTGGTGACCCCGACGTGATTTGAACACGCAACCAACAACCTTCGGAAACTTCAAGCTTCATCATCGTCATAGAGTACCCCACCCATTCGCTCCCGAGCAGATATCATCTGCAGTCTTCATATCCTGCAAGTCATCTAGCTTCACAAGGTTCATCGCAGCACTGGAATAATAATGCTTCATGTTCCTTCAAGCTACTCTCTGCGCCATACAGTGTTCGGCACGGCTCTGAGCCTTTACTGTTCGCCTCTGCCTCACGGCACTCTCACAGATTACTTGCCTTCTTCTCGACTCACCGCAGACTACAAGGCAATCTCCTGGCACTTGCACATTCGTCAGCAAGGAGGCTGTACTATCGACCTCCGGTCTGAGCAGGGGGGTGATGTAGCGGCGCTGTCGTTGCGCCACCAGCACACCGAAACACACCGAAGCCTAAATCGCGCTATTAACATTCCGAATCATAGACAGTATATATAGAACTTCTCCGAAACTCGGAGTGTTGGCGGCCTCCCCAGGCAGAATACCTTGCCCGGCGGGGAGATCTCCCCTTTTCCTACCACGGCCACAGAATCAATTCAATAATAAGTTAGAAAATGATTAAATTTACTTTGCTGTGTTAGGTTAAGCTAACCTTATTTACCGCAGATATGTCGACGCATTACTATTGTTTAATTTGTACAGTGACCGTAGGAAAAATACTCTGCTCTTAATAAAATATATTGTTCTAAAACGCCTGCAAACAAAATACTTGCAATTTAAACGGACGCATGCAGATGTCCTCGGACACTCGAAAAGTTTTCACGGTTGTCCGAGTTTAATGACACCGACTGAAACAAAAATATGTACCAGTGAAATTATTCAACAAGCATTGAGATAAATTTATCGCAAAAGCAAGTCCCGCAGTAATCGAGTAACCTTTAAAGGTTTGATAGTCCGAGTGTTCGCTATACATGGCGTGGTTGTCGTGGCCATGAGACATGAGACCTGGCCGAGGTCTTTTACTTACACTTTAAATTGCGATAAAAACATAACTAAATAACTTTTTACTAAATAATTACAACCTATCAAAGTCCAGTGTTGAAGATATATACGTGGTAGAGCCATGTTGCAGTTATATTAGTAGTATAGTTGTAGCACGAATGGGTCGGCTCGACCGGGGAATGACCACGCTTTCACAGAATACCAGCGTAAAATAGTAGCTTAATGCTGGCGTGTTTATGGTGAGTGTAGAGAAACGGAGACCCTTTTTTACTGAAATTTGGTCATTCTCATCTAAGTCCTCACGGGTGACAACGCATCTCGTAATCGAGGATAGATGTAGATGTCTACGGGCCACAGCAACCACTTAGCTGTGGACTGTAGACTGTGTGCTTGATGAGTGACATAGATTGCGGCAAAAGTGAGATATTTGCCACAGTTGCCACGCCCGGCGGGTGGGTTGACAACCGCAGTTTTATTTACTAGTTGGTACTAAGAATACGCTACTGTCTATCTTCTGGTTTATGTCTGATTGTGGCTTCGTAGCTCCGTACATCCCAGGGGATGATTATCCACTACCTCACGTAGTTGATATTCTAACGCCGCGCCGCCACTACACGGTCATAAAAATGTACTCATGGACAGTAGCCTAATGGCAGGGCGCGGACCGCGAACTCAAAAAGGTCATGGGTTCGATTCCGCCATTCGACTACTGGCGTGAACCACTCGTAACACAAGCAATTTAAGCTTACCACGAGTGGTTAAGGGAAATATTAGTAATGTTTATAGCATTGTTAATATTCTTTTTTTTTAAACATATGGATACGTTGTCCTGTTTTTACCGTCGAGCGTAAAACATAGACCTGGAATTGCTATTGTAAATGTACATACGAGGGTGGATTGAAAAGTACTCGGCCTAACACAGATCCATTCAATTCTAAAAATCAAATCTACCCACATTATTTAGTTCAGTTCAGACTAGTTCATTGTGTGAAGTTCGAAACGTGTGCGATTATTAGTTGTGATTTTATAAATTTATTAACAAAGTAATCGGACATAATTTCCGCGAATGGAGCAAATCGAGCAGCGTGCCGTCATTAAGTACCTCCAAAAGAAGGGGCTATCATCAAAAGCCATCCAT